TTCGGTCCAAACTAGCGTAATAATTTTTAAAGATTTTTATAATTTCCTAATTGCACGTTGTTTAATGTCACGAACAAATTTAATGGAAAAAGATTATCAAGAAAACGGACGAAAAGTTGGGTTTCGCGCTGAAAAATGTAGAGCGTCTCGGATAATGCATTGGTGTTGTTTCATTTAGGCAGAAATTATATCGTTGAGACTAAGCACTGTTCACATGAATTGGTCGTTCCTTAACTTCCGATAGTGACAAAATCTTGATGAAATAGTACTAGAACATGTTTGTTAAGAAAATGTCACTACTCGCGAGTCGCTGAAGTCATACTCACCATCGAAAACACTTTCTATCAGTGGTGGAAGAAGATATTATAGAGACAAATAAAATTGTTTCGTCGTGCTTTTATTACTCACAAGATCGACGCGAATAACAAGGTAACACGATTTTCCGAAGCGAGTAATATTTATTGCCAATTTCGCGATTCTCCGATTCGTCGAACCCCGAACTTACTCACGTGATAAGGTTGGACACCTTTCTAATTCCAAATATTTGGGATCATGAAAAAATGTATTATTTATTTAAGAAACCTTGAGTTTCGTAGTATGTTACTAGATAAATAGGAACTTAGACTACCGAATAGAAATGTAACTAGGTTCCTAAAGGATAATCAAATTGCGTTAAGGTGTGTGTGTTTCAGTTTCTATGTCTGCTTCAAGTTTAAATGTGAATGAATTCTATCAATGTTAGATTATTTGTAAATTATATTGGGAGGAAATGCGTTTAATGTGACACTAATAATTCATTACTTCTATCTTAACATAGTTTGGTCGCTATATGTTGACGAAAATTATTAAATTATCTTATTATCGAATGATTATAAAATTTAGTATTTGATTGATTACCTGTTTTAATCCATCGAGGATAATCAAGCAATAAAGTGACACGTATCGAATAAATGTAATATTACAGAAATCGGAAACACAAACAAGGCACGTATCTATAATCTAAAGAGAAATAGCGTAGTGGAAGAAGAATAGTTACGTCTGGTGAGTCGAATAATTCATAAGAAGTTTCTGTTCGTGACACAAAACATGGATCTCGTTGCAAAGAAAAACTACGAAGAAATAAAAGATAAGTACATAATACATACAGTGTACGCATGCTGTACAAAACAACTTGGTCATCCATCCTCTGCATTCTGCTGATTGCCTTGATATTACTAAAATGTGCACATTATTGCTGACGTAAAAAGAAAAGTGAGCACAGCATGTATTTTTCTATGTTACAGTGAAAGTAAATTCCTCTTTCTAACGCCGAGATGGCTTTCTGCTCGAGTAATTTTTAGAATTTCACAAAAGTATGTCTCGTCTAATATTCGATACTTCATACAACTGTATCATTTAACTGTGGATTCACTTTTTATATCAAACTATATTCTCTTATTCAGATGTGTGTATACATATATCAAATATCTTATTTCAAATGTCTTTAATTAACGATTTAATTTGATGTAGTTTTAATTCTATAAAATGCATCTAAAAAAGAGTAAGATTTATGTTCGATACAAAATTCTATACTGTATCACTACTAATAAAGAAATATCTATAAAATAATTCTCCGTCTTTTATCCTTCGAATTCAATAAAAACAACACTTTCTTCTTTTGCAGAATTTATTAATATTACTCGATAAAAAGTGATCATACGCAAGTATAAATCAATAGATGGTATCGTATTACAGGAAATCTTTCATATACCATAATATCTATCTCAAAAAGTCTGTTGGAAAACGAGAATTACTCAACTTGAATAAAATTTTCATATATATGTGCCCAATATTGCCTTACCTTTGCAAAGAGGAAGAGGGTTTCACAAACATATAATTCGATCGTAGATACGTCTACCTGTAATACTTGCTTGTTTCCATAAGATGCAACGAGAAGCACGTTTATCGGTTAAAAAATATCTAAACTGCACGTTTATTTCTCTCTCTGATAGAATCTTACAAATGACAATTTTGCAGTTGATTAAAAATATATACATATATGAATATTATATCTCGTCCTTCGTAGACCAGTTTTGAACTTACGAGTAATCAAATTCTGTACGATGAAAAATTTTATTTTATAATTTTGTTTTGTCTATTATGTATTTGTTTCTCCTGTATTTGTAGATTTATATTTTTGTACTAAATGCATGAAGAAAAGGAACATATAGGAAAAGATTATACAGGAAGTGTAGAGGGTATTGATATGTATCGGACATATTTTGTACAATGGAACAATTTTAATAGGAACTTGTGATAAAAAAAATTCCCTATCCGATTTGCTCCAGATAAAATGTCAGAAGGCATGAAATTCTGCATATATGTCAAAGTAAAATTCCAATTTCGATCGATAATTCATTTAATGTTTTACTGATAATTATTTGTTATAGCGTTTCCTTTTACATATTTTTAATGACACTACCGATATAACTTTGTGCACTTGTTACGCGTTTTATCGCTTCGTAATAAAAACAAGATACGGTTTCGAAACGATATTTTTCTATTACTCAAGAAAGAAGGCAAGGAACGTGAATGACGCTGATCTTATAAATATCGTACTTCAGCGTATGAACAGATTTCGTGCTCTAGTACCCAAACGAAATGTATGATGTGACATTATATTACTGTCCGAGCCGTGCCGAGAATTTTCATTTCATTCAACCGGGAATATCCCCTTTTCGGCTTGTTGTCGGCTTCTTCCTTTTCCGTGACATGCAACATCGAGCTTTCTGAAGTAAAGCTCATAAGCCTCGAAACTCTGACTTTATCAGTATCAACGGTGTGACAGCATGTACATAGAAATCGCGAGTCAGCCTTAATGCGATGCACGAACCAAGCGTAAAGAAAAAGCAGAAGGTCGAGAACTCCGCTCGTAATTCGAGAGATCTAAGTATATACAAATGCACATACATACTAGCCTTCGTCTCACAACGTAACTGGAGGTTTTAACTTCCTCCTTGGGCAACTGGTTATATCACGTGAGAATCTTTATTCCATCAACGACGAAGGATCGAAGAAAATTCTTCTTTATGAGAATCGAGTAGAGTAGGTTTTATTTCATCGATAAGAGATATAGGTTAAAATATTGAAACTTTTTGGTGGAAAGCATTTTTAATAAGTAACTTTTCACTACGTACATTGAATAAATATAAACAATTATGTATCTATCAATAATTAGCCAGTCATATGTATCTTTCCATATTTCTACGATTGTTACTTATCTTTCTAGTAAGTCTCCTATTTTCCTTTTATAAAATATTTATCGTGACGAATTCTATTTTAAACTCAATTCCCAGAAAAACCGCAATATTTGTCCGATGACCTAATACATTGAATTTCTCAGTTTCATACGCATGTATATTTTTATTTAATGAAAAAGTATATCGAAGACAATTCGTACACTAAACTAACAATCAATTAGTAATTGATTATATGTTAATATATGTTTTATGTGCGTATGAACAAACAATTGAATATCATTTTGATCTAATTACTCTCTGGTGAGTTGTAATTAATAAGCAAATGTTCAATAGCGACAATACGTGATTGTGATTTAGTACTCTAAGAAAAAAATTCTTTTATAAGCGCTATATTTATGATGCAACTATTTATCACAAAACACGAGTTGATTAATCAATTAAAAGGTTAAATGAACGGTGCCTGAGACATTTGAAGTTCTTCTGAGTCACTACATCAACGTCAATAATATTGATGTATCATGTACATTGAAACAATTAAAAAAGAAACAAAAAGATTCAACGATTAAAACTCTCTTACAAACAAATTACGTGAAAAGAGGAATTCTGTTTGCTCGAATGCGACAAACATTGCAAACAAGTTAGGTACTTCAAATAAAAAATTACAAAACACGTTCAGTATGCAAAAGTCATAAGAAAAATTTGCGGATGTGGCAGCAAGCATTTCAGTACAGGGAGGGTATCATTTCTGAAGTATAAAAATTTCTTTTTCCACAATAAACGAGATGAATAAAATACTTACTTACGTTCTACTGATATTGCAAATTCTTAGACCGAATAATAAAAATAAAAATACCATTGAAACATGGTTCATCTGACTGTGAGATTAAAGTAGTTCTTAATTGCGAACTTCGCTCGAATGCTTGAATTGTTCTCCGGAGAATTTTGGATCGTTCGGAATACGAATGCCTCAGCGTTCACAGATCGATTTTATTACGATTTCGTTACTCACCGTATTCCTCGTGTTTCGCGACAAAAATCGCCACAACCATGATCAGTCGAAGATTAAACAACTTCGAATGACAACCAAGAATCTAGACGAGAAAACGCAATAATTCTTCGAGTCGTCTTTCGAAGGGAAAGATATCAAATACGACTCCATGCATTCTTACGAACTGGCAAGCTTGTCCTTCTGAATGAGTTTAAACAAAACGTTCTTAACCTCCAACGCGACTAGTTGTAAGTAACTTTATATCTGCTAGTACGTATTTCATTTTAGTGATATATTACATGAACATTATTTCTTCGAAAATGTATTGCTTTCATCAAATTAATTCAAAAATATCATATTACTCCCTGTATTCATTAGCTCGGAAACAAATTAGAAGCATCGAATTCCTAAAAGTAGAAAACGATTTTAAAAGCTTCTACAATAAATTATCATCAATGTAAACCGAAAAAGTCCACGAGATTCATTTATTACGATTCTCTTAGACCTTCACTAACATCTATTGAAACGTATGTTTTTCGCACAGAACTACGGTGCTCACATTAAAATTATCTTTGATTAAATTACATACTGTATTTTTATTTCTATATAGTATACGCTGCATAGCACATTTCATTGTCGGTTTAATTAAAAACTAGCATGTCCACGTAATTATGTATTTTCTCATAAGTACATATTGTGACTAATTTGAACATATTTGTCAGATATCATGTTTTAGAAAATATAAAAATAAATATTAAAAGTAGATTACTCACCGCCGTTCTTCCCGTCCTCCTTCGCTTCATCCCCTACCGGCTGGACACTTTCCTTGCTCGTATTGCACCCCATTTTCACTCGGCTCTTCCTTGTTCTCTTCCTTCCCTATATCTTTTCTCTATTCTCCAATCGCAAACGCCAACCGTTACTCGTGACACTTGCTATGTAATTCGCGATTACAATCGACTGATTGTAGGAGCTTTTCTGGTTAACATCGAGTCGTAAAATAAGGAATAGAGATTACACCAGGAGACTACACATAGGAGTTAGGAAAAAGCTACCGACACCTTGACAAGGACAAATTGGTCAGTAGGAAAGATCACAGTGTATTTTTGGAGTTTCCAAAAATTTCGTTTTTCTTCTCGTGGCTCAGAGAAGGTGAACGACACGCCGTGGACCCGGCTTATTCGCAGCAATTCGTTGAGACGAAAATACAATGAATCTTTGTGGTTGGTCAAACTGGACGTATTGTAAATTCGATCGGTTACGCAGTCTCTTCCGTTCACGAATTTAACAATCGGTTAAGAAAATATATATATGTGTATATGTATGTGTGTGCCCGCGCGTGTATGTATGTATATATATATGTATTTATATAGATTAAAACACTGTACAAAAGCTACTGCTGGCGAACACTAAACGCTAACCTAAGTGTGTATCACGAACACAAGTCCCATCGGCGTCGCGAGGCGTACTGACACTGCTGAGTGCCGAGTGCCGACGCCGACGACCCTGCCCTTGCGTCGCGACTACGCGAGTCGATATATATTCCTTCGTGATCTTCGTATGCGTACACATACACGATTGCATGCGCGCGAAACCAATAACGATATGTACCGCTACGGTGGACCCTTCGCTACACACGGCTTAGATGCTTAAAGACGCTACAATGTTTTACGATTTTGCATTGTAACATTTCTATGAAAGACATATTGGTTTTGTATTAGTTATCGTCGGTTAACTACGCGTCACTCCCATTTCTCGTGTATCATCCAAGGAGAGGGACTTTTGCAAGGTTCAATCGATTTCATAAACGGATACCTCGTTTAAATGTACTGAATCGACAAGACCGGTGGCAGACAGGCGCCAACAATTCTCGCGGTCTTCCTGCTTTCTGGAACGAATATCGATTTTGTAGTTTTGATAATCCTCCGCGATTTACCACCGTTGATGATTCATATTTCATAGATGAGACATACATTTGTTTGCGTTTCATAGTCGCGTGACTTATACTGAGAACAGTACTAACAAATAGCTTCGATATTTTTAATGCCTTCCCGGCATGCACGATTCTCTCGATACAGAAAATATTAAGGATAAATAATAATAATGATTGGTAACGAATTTGAGACCATGTTTATTGAATATAGATGATAGAAACTGTATTTTACATTTTGAATATACAGGATGTACTAATTATTATATATATATAAATGTCAAAATATTTGTAATATTTACTAAAATTCGACATCCTGTATATTTCCGATCTCTCGCTTGACAATTAAACCATAATGTTCATAACACGTAACTTGTACGATATATACAAAAAATGAAAAAACACGTTCATTTTACATATCAGAAGTACTCCATTTATAAGCCTCCTCTTGACGTGCTATCTTTGCATTTTGTGCTTCAAACCATCGTTTTTCATATCCATTACTTCTGTCAACCCCGTCCCACCTATGACCAGGTTTGATACCAAAACGATTTGGCATGAATGATCCTTCGTACTTTGGTCGATCTGAGAACATACATAGTTGTATACCAATGAAATCATTATGACAAATATGAATATTTTTTTAGAATTGAACTTAAAAAATGTATAATGCTATACCTGGTTTTCTCTTCCCTTCTTTTATCTGTTTTTGTTTAATATATTCTAACATAGGATCACCTTCTCTTTCTTGTTCCCTAAGCATTTTGTCTAAATCAGTGTCATCAGCATATCTCGCTAGAGGCTTACTCATTTCATAAAGATCATCTTTTAGCTTTTCTTCACGATCCTCAACTTGTTTTAAACTGATATAACAAATATGTGTTTTACAAATTTTGCCACAAATACAATATCTTATGGACTGGATTCTGTATTACTTACCCTCTTCCCCATTTAGCATATTTTTCATCTAATTCCGCTTGTCGTTTTTGCCTCTCTCGTTCTTCTATTGCCTCTGCCTCTAGGTTACGCTTTTTACCTGTTTTATCACGCACAATCGCCGCTTGTCCAACTCCTGTAACTTCTTTACTAAGCTGAAGAAAACAAAATTGTAACCTTTTTTGAGTAAACTTACTCTAGGGGATGAAAAGTTAACTTCTTTTTTATAATTTTGTAATTTTCAACGTGTAGTATCTGGAAAAACAAGTTTTAAAGTAAGGAAATCACTGATTCAAAAGTTATGGCTATGTAAAATTGAGCATTTTTAGGATATTTTGCTAATTATTTGGTGTCACATTGGCTTCTATCTATGATTCGTCCAATGAGTACAGTGTACACATCGAAAGCTATAAGATTGCAAAAAAGAAGTCAATAATTTCTGGTTCACTGAAGTAAAATTTAACCATTTCTTTTTTTTTTTTATAAGGCATAAATTAGAAAACGGAAAGATGGAATTTCTTGAAATACCTTGCGAAAATGATCAGCTTCTCGTTTTCTATATGCCTCTGTTTCTTCTCGTAGTGCTTTAGCATCTTGTAATCCCGCCTTTTTTCCGTCTAATGTTTTTTTCATGCGTTTTTCACTACATTCTTTATCGATATTCCTATGCCTGTATCTCTTTTCCTTGGTATAATAGTCCTCTCTGTACGAACGATGACTAAAATCGTGGTCATATTTGTCACGAAATTTGCTTGATTTAGACTTATAGTAATCTCTGTCACCTTCCTTAAATCTGTTTGAACTTGTGTGATCATCTCTGTTCCTTTTACGAGGTGGACTCATATCTGAATCATGTCTCCTGTCTGGATTCTTTTTATAATGTTTGTACATTTTACTTGTAACGTCTGCCCAATTTCAGCTATTATACGCCTGTGTTTCGCAGTCGTCCTTGCAAAGCAAATTCTGTTGTCCGCTACATATATATAGTGATATTTCCAAACAATGTATGTGCTTGACACTACAACATAAATTAAACTGGTATTTGATACATAAACTTTATTAAACAAAAATAACTCGAAATCTTAATCGCAAAAATAAACGTTGTAAAGACATGCATGCTGCATAACAGCCGATTCGTTACATTTGTAAGTTTCATAACTGGAAACATGCATGCATATTGTAAACGATCTCACTGCATCGCCATAAGCTACAACTACAAGTTTTATGATTGTGGCCACACTACTACATGAAGCATCGAGCGGCGGTCGCCCCATCTAACAACATTTTATGTAACATTCTCGATACACGTTTGCACTCTTCACTCTTTGTTATTTAGTAAGAAACCATTTTATCGAAAACTTTGGATGCGTCTTTCTCAAAATCATGTTTTTTTAAATTTGTGAATGCGACTTAATGGAAATAAAATTATTGCCTTTTGTTATTGCTTTTTGATAGTTTTCAATACGTAGAATCCGAAAATGCAACTCTTAGCTTTAGGAATCCAACAGCACAAAAGTTATAACTATATAAAGTTGAGCATTTTTTTCGTATTTGACAGCTTTGATGCCATATTGGCTTTTATTCACGATTCGTCCAATGAGTGGAATCGCTAGCTGTAACAAATGCACCTGGACAGTAGCCACTTAAGCGGGATAAGACAAATATCTTTTTAGAGGGATATGCCCATAAAACAGTAAATTAAAACATAGAATTTGTAGGTAATTATTGAATTATGTTGAGGATAGCTATAAAATTGCAGTGACTGCAAGGCGGCCAGCTATATTCACATGTTAATTTTCGGCAAAGTTCATCTATATTACGTGTTAATTACAACCAGCAACGGTATCCACAGTCATAAAATAAAAGCTCAAAAAATAAAAAACTAAATGTGTATGAATGAGTGTTCATTTTTGTGCGGCCCAATCGGTGATAGATGGAAGCAATATGACGACAAAGCAAGTTGTCAAATATGCCAAAAAACGCTTAACTTTATACATGCATAATTTTTGAAATGCTGAATTCTTAAAATTAAGACTTGCATTTTCAGATTCTACACATTGAAACTACATATTGAAAACTGCCAGATAGTGATAAAAAAGAAAACAATAATTTAAGATATATAAGAACAATTAAGACAAAGATTAACCCGTGATTTTATAGCTAGATGATGACTAACAATTCTCAATGAAATAGAAACATTTAGAAAAACAATTGAATTAAAATGATTTTTCTTGCAAAAATAAATCGAAATTTTCCCGTAATTTTCTTTTAAAATTCCACGATTTGTTCAATTTTGTATTTGTTGATGTACACGAAAATTAAGGAACAGTTTTGTTTTTTGTTGCAGGCAAGAATTGGATCCGTTAGGTTAACACTTTGACTGCCACGTTGGTCATATATGACTAACTGTGACGCCACGGTGGTCATTGGTGACCGGAGCGCTTAAACTTCTTACAATTGTAAAAATTGAATGAAAATCGACAGTTGGGGCATTTTGAATATAACCGATAAATAGAAGATACTTTGAAATAAAAAGTGCCCCATTGAACAATTAAACATTTTTATTAGAACATCAATAAAAAAAAGATGAGAACAAATCTTGCATCTAACGGTGCACTGTTTGCATCCATATCTTTGAGGGGTACACTATGATTATTATTATTATAAACACACCTTAGAAAATAATCGTAAATGCTGCTTTATAATTATATAATTGAAGTTAGAAGTGTGAAGATACCTCACTATTATATATAGAATGAGCAAATACTATTTACTAATATCTTCTACACGTTTCAACAATATATTTTGGACGTTTTGGTTACGACGAAATAACGAATGCAAATGGTTTGTTGAAATAAACAAAGCCTTGTTATAATATATCACTATCAACTGTTACACGCCACGATGGTCACCCATGATCACCAATAAGATAAATGGTCCATTGGAGAAGAATGTTGTCTTAAATCATCAATTTATTATTATTTTGTCATTGTATGCTTTGAATAATAAAAATACTCCAGTGGCGTACTGAGCGAAACATGTGATTTCGGCGTGGCAGTCAAAGTATTAAGATTTACACAAGTTTACAATTCCTGTACCCTGGTGGCTTGATGTTACAAATATATCTAAATATCTAATTAAAAAATGTATTATTTTTTTTAATAAAAAAATTTTGTTTAGTACTTGAATATAAAATAAAGCACCCTTAAAATTGTGGAAACATTTGCTTTATTTTTGTTGAGAAAAAAATTTTTCAAGGCCATGGATGTTGTATCAAGTCAAGTTCCCTTATTATATCATTACCATTGTTCTTTTTTGCTTCTTAATTTGTCACTTTTTTTTTCTTTTTTTAGATAATCTTGGAGGAGACAAATCATCATCCAAATATTTCTTTTCTTGCCTTGGTGGACTTAAGTCGTCATCAGAAATGTTCTTAACTTCTTTCAGTTGCTTATTTTCTCTATCAATGTTAGGAATAGTTAAATCGTCACCTTTGTCATTAGCTATTATTTTCCATCTTCTTTTATCAGAAAAGTCAACCGGACCACGTTCATCTACAACACCAGCAATTTGAGGTGCATCTTCTGCATTGGTAAAAATATCCAATTCATTCTTTTCCATTGGTCTTAAATTCTTCAGCTCTATGTCATCATCAATGATTTTTACTCTGAAAAATACATATCAAAATTTATGCTAAGGAGTGAATAATCTTCTACGATAGTTTATTATTTCTGTTCACATTTAAACAATCTCCGATATTAATATAATATTAAATGAAGAAAATGACAATAAATAAAATATATTCTGTTTATACATTAAAGGTTAAAAAGCACAAGAACTCCCTGTTGAAACTGTCAAAGCCACAATATTTACAAATGGAATCTTACGTTTTTAATCCCAGTTTAATCTTTTTCTTTTTCTTCTTTTCATTTTTTGAAGATAAGTATTTTTTTAAATATTCTTTTTGATCTATAACCTTTTTGTCCATTTTGAGTTTTATATCCCAAGTACAGCGCGCAACATGCAACTATGTTGTAGCTTAGGTATGTGCTATACCATACTGTCTCCATCAGTATTTCGTGCCGCATACACGCGAGGGCACTACATTCGCTATTTAAATGTCGCACAAAAATGATAATTTGAAAAATTATATGTCATAACTTCTTTCCAACGAATAATCAAATTTTGAAAACAATTACAGTTTTAAACTTAATTCATGTATGATTTGAAGCATTAGAATTTAAGGTTTCTTAGCTATAATACGCTTTTCGTCCTAGTTAACCATTAAAAGTCAATGCATAAATTGTATAGAATACATATTTGGAAGTTACATAAAAATATTTGTTTTGTTTGCAATATAGCTTACGCTTATTTAATGTATAAGATAAAGTGTTAAGTACAATATTTAAAGAAGAAGGTACTGTACGGTTGCCTTACCTTTATACGTAAGTATTTTAAGAACAACCGCCAAGATAACAATATTAATTCTTCAGCATAACAGGAAGTGACAAACAATACATAAGTTATTAAGAGAAATCCAGGCACACTAAAACAAGTATTTCGCTATCTGATATCCTCTAAAATTATTTTATATGACGCCAGACATTAGGTTGTCCCAAAAGTTTCTTTCGTTTTATAAGGAAATAATAGAAGCACGACATTTTTTGTTTTACATTATTTTATTGAATTTTGCATGATCCATTTTGTTCTATAGAAAACATAATTCAATAAAATAATATAAAACAAAAAATATTTCCGTGTAAAATGAAAGAAACTTTTGGGGCAACCTAACATCTTACGAATATTATATTCGCTCGAATGCACACGCATTATACATAAGGAAAATAGTGGTTGATAGTGATCATATATAGAAATATATATACATATGTAGTTTTCATTGGCCGATTGGTTTCCTGGTGAATTCGTGCGTCATACTAACCTTATCGGCGGAGCGCATCTGAACACGGGTTATAAGACAGGATCCATAATATAACATGCCAGACGAGACGAACCTTATCGACTTTATTCATCGACCGCGCACAGTCTGCTTAGCAAGATGATATGTACAACAGCACGGTAAATCAAGACGCTCTACTTTAGAGACTCTGTGTAGAAATTGAAGTTCTTCATTGGTCGGTGGAAGAAGGCAGGTAATTACGTTGGTTGGAGGTGGAAACAACGAAAGAGGTAGGGGAGCGAAAGTGAACACAGCTCCAAGAATGGGCAGGAAGAGACGGGCTCCTTGAGCCTGCGGCAGAAAGTTTGGCGGATAATAGCGTAGGAGCATCGTTATTAATGTTTTATTGAGTCGAATGGGAAGTGTATGGATCTCCATGATGATCTACAGCTAAGTTAGCCATTGGAAAATCGCGACAACAGAGTACGCGAAAAATGAAAGTATGTACGAACGCGATTGCTCGATCAAGAAAAGACTGACTGGCTGAGTGAGATTCCGCCGATTCCAGTGACGTTCCAAAGAGAGAAACGTAGTGTGTGCAAGGTTATGGGCGTGCTGCTGTTGCTGGTGCGATCCAGTGTATGCCAGTGATTCTCACTGACATGCCTACTTCGGCCTCCGTTGGAAAAAATTTTGTGCTCGTGACAACTTTGTGCATAATCAGTTACCGCGAAGCCGTTCTGACGCGAGCGTCATCCGTCATCCTTGTCGATCCTTGAACAACGTGCTGCATAAGACCATGACGCGAAAACTCAGCAAGTTTTTAATACTTTTCGACAATACGAATCTTTTATATTTTCCCGGCCACTTTTTGTCCGGTCGGGTACTTATCGAGTTGGATGATGAGGCCTAGTAAGTATGTATTTACTTACATACCACATATATGTATATATATACAATCGCACGAAATCTCACATACAATCCATTTATGTGTTACTTATTTATATTTTTATGAAACTGTTTATAAAAAAGAATTCAAAGACAATTTAAATTATTAAAATATAATTGTCAACGAGATATTGATCAAACTGACTAGCTTTGAAGATTAATTTGAAATAAATTATTTTGAAATTAAGAGTTTGATGTCTTAATATTTTTGATCTTTATGAGACATCAGGAAGCGCATGGAAGCATGTAGGTATATTACTTTAAATAATTATGTTTCGTCAGATTTACTTTAATCGTGATTAACTCGCGTAACATCTATTGTAGCCACTGAAAACTTTCACAGTATAAATTACGATATATCCAATAGTTATGATAATTTATATAATCGACTAAACAAACCATTGAAAATTACATGTTCATTTCAATTAATGATCATTAATTTATTTACAATATAAATAAAATATGTTTCGCGATATAAACTTTTCACTCTATTAGAAACAATTGTTGTATAAAACAACATTTTTGCATTAAAATACATGAATATGAGTATTGTCCGCCTTTTACACAATTACATGCAGCGCTCCTTAGAATGTTAATTCAACACAGTATTGTCAATAGTATCAAACTACTTTTTAGAAAGCGTACTGCATAGAATAGTTATATATATATACATATACAACAAAAATTTCATTTACTTTTAATCTATTTCTTTTTTATCCATTATTTATTATGCTTCACGTCTAGAATTCTATCTTTCTTGAAGGATTTATTACCCCAAATATTTTATAATAGTATTATTATAATCAAATTGAATTTGTTCGTTTTCAGTTTCGATATTAAGTGTTGTAAGACTTGAAAGTAATTTATTGGATTTATTAAATTTATTTCATTGACGTAATAAGATTAATGACACTTTCGATGTATCGTAGCGTTTCAGGGTTACATTTTCATGTGATCGGCGAAGGAGTGGTGCGTGTACGCAGTCAACGTGCTGAAAGGGTTTACGACAAAGAAAACTATATAGATTTTCGTATGAGATTGCTGGGTGAGCCAGGTAATGAAAAGAAATTACATTACAGTACATTTAATGTAGCCGTTAAAATGAAACGGGCACAATGTGTTCGGATAATGAGCCTTAGATGATAAGCCTGTGATCTGGAACATCTTAATTCATAAATTAGCTTTACTCGAGTTTGCATAAATGTTTGCAATAATAGCCAGATTCTTTAACGACATTCGTCTTCTACTTAAAGATGGAAGATTTAAAATGGAATTTTTTATGACTTTTAATTTTCCTGATTATCGAATTTAAAGAGATCCCATATGACGATAAAGGATTTGTCAGAAGCACTTGCATGTTTTCACTAAGTAATTGTAAAAACATGATACGTGGAACTTAACATTTTAATGGATTTGCTAGGTGTAGCGTTAATGATGTATCTTTGAAAGCCGTCAAATTCTTCTCTTTACAAGCGGCACACCTGCAAGCCATGCGGCGCATAATAATGTAAAAACTGTTCCTTTTCGTTCTCTGTTGCTCATGCGTACGACACCGGAATCCAGGAGAGGGACCATCGCTGCTATCGCCGGGGATTCACAGCTTTCCATTCAAATTAGGTCTGCCCCTGGGCCTGCCGTCTACTTTCTTGGGGAAACATGGTTGGGTACAATACTACTGCAAAGCTGCACTTCGGGAGCCCGGAGGTCTGACGCACAAGAATCAGCAAGTCTTCATCGTAATGAACCCAATCGATTTAAATTTAGAACCGCCGATTCTAGCAGTAAGTCTCTGTACATATCTATCTATTTTACCTATTTGTTCCTGTTTTTTATCTTTGCATTATATATGCCGATGATTTAGTATCGCATAGGTATTTCCTTTGTTAGAAGGCGATAGAATTTGGCTAAAAAGATAACCAGGGATGACTAGGGCAACGTCTACACCGATCCACGGTTCGGACGAAACGATGTTCTATATAAAAAGTATAAATTTTATTCTATAAAGGATGTTTGTCCTTTATTGTTACTGCTAATGCATAAAAAAACAAAAGTTATCATTTTGCTATCGTGTCTCTAGATTGAAATATGTACGATAAAATGAATATTGTTTTATTGGAAATATTAAAATATATTATAATAAGTCCTATATTCAAATTTATGCTGGCTATGTTTGCACGTAAATGAACCATGATTCATGTGTTCCATTACTTTATAGTTAGGACGATCGTGCTTGTTTTGAACATAATTATTCAGCTTACGCTTTCTACCCGAAGCGTGCGATTAGACGAACCCCGATACGCGCATCCTAAATCGTGAAACATCTCTGGTCGGTTAATTTTATTGCGATTGCGATCATATTGAACGTCGTATTGCACATCTAACGATTTAATTTGCAATTTTGCTGCACGCAACACACCCGTCTGATTTCTAATTGCCGTTTAAAACAACGGCCTTAACGAATTACATATAAAAAGAATAATGTTTCGCAGGACAAGCTTGTTTAAAGTTTAGGATAATTGTGTGGTAAGAAGATGTAATATGACCTGTGCGATGAGTTATCATATATCCCACAACCAATTTTTTAAGAAGTTTAAAGAAAAACATTTTTTGAAAAAATGTAGTAAAAATTAGAATATTTTTGTTGCATCTTGGTCCATTCTAGTAAAACTTTACACGTGTAAATTTCAAGTAATTCTGTAAAATATTTTATGTTCCATTAGTTTCCCTTTAAACAGCAAAAATTAATACCCTACTAGATTGTAATTATATGTAATTAGTAATAGGTTGTAGTATGCCATATGATTATCCGTAGTATTCATATGATCACAGCGAGTCAAGTATCGTTCGGGCATTTAACAAGCAATAAAATGATATAAAACCGTATCGTCTTTATCGCTCGAGTCATCGTCGAAATTATGCGGGTATTAATACAATAACACAAAAATTAGTCACGGTTAGATTGAAGTAGTGTTCTAAGATTTCAAACGACTTTGTACGTTTCACGAATCGTTTAACGGCAAAATCCAGCACAGAATCGTTGGTTCTCCCGAGTTTTGAATAACGGTCACCAGCCTGCGCAGAAAGCGATCGCGATTTTTGTCATTATGCTGCATTTTTTTTGCTTCCAATACCAAATTTTCAATCGTTGCAGTTATTTCTGCTTCATGGAAGGAAATTAATTTCATGGATAATATTTCTTGTCTTACTTTACATTAATGTTTTTTTTATTATATTTTCATTCTTTATTTTATTACTTCACTTGATTTATTTTCTAGTCTTCTAATTTTTACATTTTGTTTTTATCCCATCACATTTTTATTTAGCATTTCTCGTTTTTTTATTTCATTTCGTTTCTTGATTTTCGCAAACGGTTCAAGTTTATACTGATGATTTCCTTGAATTTGTTTGCAAATTACAACATAGTTTTTTTGGAATCGTCCCCGCAATACGTCAAGGAACCAGCATTTACATTTACTCAGTCAGACACACATTCCTCCGTATGTTTGGTGGAAAGTTGATTGTTTATGGGGCCAAAGAAACACATTCACATCATACCAGATTAACATGTAACATAAGATAATTCTTACGTAGGCATGTGGCATTCAGCTTCGAACGCGACCGCATTGTCGATTCTACTGTATAGACACATTCATTGCACACGCCTTGCATTGCATAATCAAGAACTCTCCAAGTGATAACTGAAAGTATTGATCTCGTATTTGATGAAGGAATTGATGAAATTTGAAGATCCAAGTATTATAAAAGAACGCGATACATATTACTTCGTTAGAAAATGTCGGAGATAATGGTAGTAGTATACTTTCGTAATATATAGGATCTTTAGATATCCAAATACAGAAATTACATCATGAAACCAAATCCCATAAGAACTTAGAATTAAATAATTTATATGATTTGTCAAAATGTATACTTCTCAATAGCAACCAGCAAGGCAAGAAATCGAGCAGCGAGTCGGAGTTTCCTGTGTCTCTGGAGGCCCTGTATTTTGCAGGGTAAGCCTCGACAGAGGTGGATACGTACCCGGTGAAACTATCGGCATCTCGGCGACTGTCAGCAATCGGAGCAAAGTATGTATCGTATTTCGATTCATTGACTAACCAAAAGAATTTCTATCGTGGGAATAAGGTCAGCACAATATGACGCTATCACATACTATTCCAATCTATAAACGTTTCCTAGATTTACAGTTAACGTGAAGCAAGTATTTTAATTGAAAATCATAAGTAAACATCTAATTCTAATTACAGGACTTTTGCATAAAATTTCACAATATTATCATAACAACGAAATCGATGCAAATAATGCAAGACCCACATTTAAGTGTACACACAGAATTGAAATGATTCAACAGGTGACGATGAAATCGACTAAAGCATCCTTGACTGAAACAATCCAATACCTTTGTCGTGGCAAAGTACTCGCGAGCGAGACGCGAGAATTGGCTAGTGTTTCCAGGGGTAAAATCCGTCCCGGAGAAGGTGAGGAGTGGTTGAACGAACAAATGTACGTTCCCCCGTTACCACCCACCAATCTGCGGGGTTGTCACCTTATCAACGTCCTTTATCACGTCTACGTGAGTATAAATGCCATTTCAACTGCTATTACGATAATTACAACTACATGCAGCATGATTAAAGTATCATACTCTCTCTTTACTCTAACGTGTTTCCTCCACAAAGCTAACATGTTTATGACCATTTACGGAAAGCAGCGACTTTCTTCTGTACGGTTCTTCTTTCTCCTTTTTTCTTTTTCTGTTATGAAAATATCACTTCTTTTTATGAATCACTTATTTTTTATCGCAATCACAATTTTTACTGGGATTAGTTTGCAACGTTAATAAAATTTTACGAACAAAGCAATAATTTTCATGATAGAATATTGTAAGAATATCGTAAGAACAATGTACTATCAATCTTTTAAAATTTATGATTTTGTGGAGTGTACATGAATCTTATACGTTAGTCAACTTTCTCGAGATTTGTGTCACTCGATTCTTTGTCAACCGACTTTTTATCCCAAATGCATTCCATTCAAAACATTAATAAAATATTCTTTTACAAACATGCATACCCGTATATGTATTCCTCTGGCAATAATCGACAACCTTTTAAAAACTATATATTATAAGAGACATCTTTAAACGAAGATAAACATCTTAGATGGTACAGAATATATGATTGAGATTCCATTTTTATACTATTATTTCATCGGATAAAATTATTTATGTTTTTATTATAATGTCTTATAACATACATAAAAGAATATTTCACTTTGTTACAGTTTGTAATAAGTCCAAAAAGCTTGGACAAAGAAATAAAACTACAAATACCAATCGTTTTAGCCACCTATCCTTTAAGACAGGAAGGTGCTCCAGCAGGAACTGCACCGTCGAAAAGAGGGGCACATTATCCATCAACGTTGCCGATATTTCGGCCATGGTTGGACGATAAAGCTTTTGAGATACAAGAGTGAAGGTTTAATTCATTTTAATCGGTGATCATAATATATAGATGAAAAAAATCTTGAAAGAATTTATATAGAACATATCCGCGACGGTGATACTAAAAATTGAAAAAAATTCTTTGAATCTTGGAAAAAGTTAATACGCTTATAGCAATACTTATCTCAAATTAAACTTAACTAAAAGTGCTTACAAATGGCAAATAAATACGTTATTTTTGCATTTCATCTTGAAATATTTGTTTAATTAAATTTAGGAAGTATATAAAGAATAGAACTTCTTTTATAATTTAAAAATTTTAGATTTAAAAATGTGATTTATATCATTTTTGTTGATATCTTGTAAATGTCTATAATGAGTTATATACATGTCGGAGAAGAGTCTATTATAACAGTTGTAATTAAACAATTTGCCGTCATTCTACCCAATTGTACTTGTTTGCGATTAGTGATAATAAACCTGGGCTTAAGGCGACCATCAATCGCCGAACGTAGCCGCGGTCAACGGGACGGGCGCTTCGTCTAACAAAGGTGTGGAGTGATAGTATGACCCTCGTTAAAAGAAATACCCATAGAGGTACTTGACAGTAAAATATTCCAACGGTTCCTTCGGACACAATGAATACCAGATGTTGAGGCACTTACACAGCACAAGTTCAGTTAGCCTGAGGATCCGCTATAAAACCTGGGTATTTTTGGTACTTAAGGTTCTTCAAACGGACAGGCAGTCTTTGTCCCAAATTGACCAATTGACAGCGACGTCAATTTCCTTTATTTTCGGAACGAGGGCTATACTCGACGAATCCGATGATCTCGTGTCCTTAGACACACCCCATCATAGTTTTCCTCTGCAGCATCATTGGGACGAAAAGTCATTCTTTCTTGTGATCTCATCGACGAAGAGAGCAGCGCCTTACGATCTGTGAGTATTACACATTTGAGTTAGATTGTGTGAGCAAGTATATCTATCATCCCATTGACCGTGGATTCGTTATCGAACCTAAGACCAACGTCACTAGTATCGCAAGTGCTCAACCACCGCGGTTGATTGTCGAATCGGTAGTATCCATACTCGTATTACCAGGCCGTACCTTCGTTATAACACAACGATGGCCAATTCCAATGAAGATCTATCAAACGCCCACAACCCTATTCATGACGCTTCTCTGACATATTTATATTTTTTTTTTTTGAAAGCCGAAATGTGTCAGCAAAGTAAAACTTGAATTTCGTGATTATATATTTAATTTCTGAAAGTTATTAAGGAACTACTTCTATGACGTAATAATTGTATAAAGTTACTTTTTTATTGTATAGATTAGTTGAATATGTTATATTGACGTGATTGCCATATTTATGTATAGTAAATATGACTTATCAAAATGAAAGGAGTGTAACATTATATGTATACATTAAAAAAATAGTTGTTCTAACAAAAGATAGAAGTGCGTCAATAATTAATTGTTACTATTTTTAAGTTCCTATTTCTCCCTTTAATTTTTCTAAGACCTTTTCCACTGTAGTTCCAGATACTATTATCACCTTGTGTCGACTCTTTGAACCCTATAAAAGATGAGAATATAAATTAAAAAAAAAAAAATGGAGAGGCTTAATTAGTAGATATTAAACTAACTCTATCTAACGATACGTCGGATTTTCTCATTCCTAATATGGAGGCTAGGTATTTCACGAGTTCTGTATTTGCTTCACCTTCAACCGGAGGTGCGGATATTGCGACGCCCACTGCATCCTCGGAAATATCTACAAAGCAATTTACACCTTCACATGTATCTGATATCCTATTTTAAATTTTGCTTTAAATATTGCAACATATTATCACCTGTTATATTATTATGTTTTGCGCCAGGTTTTGCTTGTATTTTTATAGTAACATTTCCATTCTTATCTAAACTTATGGGTCCCTTAGATTCCTACCAAAATTTATCTATCCGTTATGAATATGAACAAAGAGTATCGAACAATCAAACAACATAATATAATTTTAAGTTTTAAGTAGATGATTACCTAAAATGCTACGTAAAATATGATTGCGATCTTAATTACATATTGTATGTTATATATAATGGTACTGAATTAGTATATATAGCGTCTCTATATACACATATATCTTATTTTCTTTTTTATTTAAATAAAATATTCGAAAGAATTGGTATTTCTTAGAGAATATCTAGTGAACTGCGAATGTAATGTTGCCATTCATGAATTCGCAAGCGACACCTAGTAGTATTAAATATAAGTTGGAGGTGTATCATAGAAAATGTCATGTTATTTTCTTAATAGGTGATCAAATCTCGATCACACGTTACATTTTAATTCTTGTAACCGGAGTTGGTAAGTTACGATTTTTATTATTCACTGACCTCATTAACTGTAGCTTTTTTACTTTTTCCAGCTTTCTTTGATCCCTGTTTCGACATTTCGCGAGTATTCGTAAAATATTGCAAAAGTTTCCTTCGTAGACACGCACTTCCAAAGTAATACGTCATTTATGATTTAAAAATCACTCGAACCATATTTTAGATTTAGATGGCTATAGTTAAAGATGATGCCGATGATTCTTTAACCTCTTTATATCTTTAGCTGAGCGATACATCTGCGCACGTGTAGCGGTACTACCAACTAAACCATAGTGAGATACATGTTACCGCGAATTATTAAGCCAGTTTAATTTTGCCGGTTTTTTGTTTGTGATAATATTTCAAATATTACGAATTACATAATAATTTCGCAATGAAATAAATAATACGAAAGCTTATTATCAGCGAATTTTCAATTCATGTTGTAATTACGATAAAATTTACAGGTTAATATGCCTAAAAAATTTGTCGGTGAAAATAGTAAAGCCGTCGCTGCCCGAGCCAGAAAGGCAGCAGCAAAAGAGGCTGAAAATACAAAGAAAGCTCTTGAAGCGGAAGAAAAAGCTTGGCAAGATGATGATAAACAGTTATTGAAAAAGAAACAAAAACAGGTATCTAAATAATACTTATTAAATTTTATTAGTTATACAATATTTATGTACTTAATAACTTTGCTTCCTATAATTTATTTATTAATTTTTAATATATTTTAAATTATTTCATAGGAAGAATCTGAAAGGAAACGTCAACAGCAATTAGAAAAGAAAGCAGAAGTGAAAGCTCTACTAGAAAAGGAAATGGCAAATATAAAAGTGGGTGGCAAACAGCCTGCATCTAAAGTAACTAGAGCAGAAATAGTAGCTGTAATGGAAAAGCGAAATCAAGCAGCAACTAAAAAAAGGGAAGAAGAAAAACCAATCGAAGAAAATTTGAATAGGTTGACGATAGAAGGTGAAAGTGCTCATAATATAGATGAGGCGCTATCTGTTTTAAGGTAAGACCAATTATTATATTGACATTTTAAATGAAAGCAATTATTTCATATTATATATATTGAAAGTACATTGTTATTATTTGTTACACAGTACAAAAGAAGCCGAGGTTGATCGTCATCCAGAAAAACGTGTAAAAGCCGCGTATGCTAGTTTCGAAGAAAGAATGATGCCTATTGTTAAAGAGCAAAACCCTACTTTGAGGTTAAGTCAATTAAAACAAATATTAAAAAAGGAATGGATGAAATCTCCAGAAAACCCACTCAATCAAAAATTACTCTTAAACCGTTGATACTAAACGAAATCAAACGAAATGTAAACACGCATATGACTGATTAGATGATTCAGAGGAACATGTGGAATAAGACTCATAAATGTAATCATGAATGGAATCAAATATCTGTACACAATTTTATTGTAAACGAATAAGTTATACTCCGGTAGAATACATAAAATAACGCTGTATAAATCATCTTTGGTATAACTTATACGCTATTATATAGCCTCCACATTGCATTTTATAATTTCATTTACAAATATACCGTTAAATTGATAAATTCAAAGAGAACAACTTAATAATCGTGTACATGTTTTGGCACAGTTACTCTGTAGACTTATACAACTTTACCAACATGGGTATCCGGCTATACGGCACTAGACGAAAGTTTATAAAAAAATAATTATACAGAAAATTGGTTACTTCATTTCAATCTTATAAAATAGCATTCTATACAAACGAAGTTTTACCAGCGTAAAATCTAAATTATGTACAATAGATCTTAATCTTTGTTTCGGTGTTTTTGCCGCGGCAAATTAAGCATAAGGCACTATAATTTCTTGTTGTTCTCTCTGTTTCATGTACAATGAGTGAAATACCCGTACAAAGAACTTGATATTTAAATATAATATTATTATATAATTACTTGGTCCACAAATAGTCCTTTTTGCAAAGACATTTTTTTGCCTACTTTACTGCTACCGTTTCTTGTTTTTCCACAAATCTATGAAACAATGTATCATGTGATTAACTTGCTTTGGGCAATCAGTCATGGGAGTATGACCAGCAGTTGGAATCGCTTCGAGAAAGGCTTTCATCATGGTCTAAAACATGAAACATAAGAATACAATTGATACTGAAAATGAGATGAAAATTATTTTCAAATTACCTAGATATCTTCTGAGAAAATTAAGAATTTGAAATATCTGCAGTTAAAAATAAATTAGAATTATATTTCAACGTTAATAAAACTACTGAAGGAAAAAATGTTTAGTGTGAATGATAATAGCAAATATTTTCACCGTGCTCCATAATCATGAAAGAATCACATAAAGTATTACGTATTATCTAAAGTAATATGAATATATGCATAAGTAAGAATTTTTTTAACTGTTTTAAACTTACAAATTCATTAAAAAGATCTTCCAATATTTGATACAAGCCATTTGCTACGTATAAAATTTCATAAGAATTTACGCGTAATATATTTACATGATTCTTAGAATCTATCTGAGAAGAAGCTTGAGAAAGAGCAACGTACCCTCTCCATTTGGCATTCCTGCACGAGTGACACTTTCTTGTCCCTTAAACCATGTATGAGAAGCGTCGGCGTGCATATCCTTCTATGGAACACGTAGTCTCCTTCCGGCCAGACCATGCCGTCCAAAACGTATTTCATGTGCGAAGGCCATTGTTCTGGTGGCTCAGGGCCACAGTAAGGGTGTTGACGGCCCCTCGCGGAATATAATATATCTCTATGAAGGCCGCACATTAAAAACGGTGTCAGGATTGCTCTGAGGCAGCAGTGGCCGGCGCTTTCGGTACTGGGTGCTGCTAAAGCTGTTGGACCACCTCCGGATATCAGGACTAGCTGATGGATACTACTGTCGTACTTACAAGCCAAGGCAGCTGCAAAACTGCATCTGCAATCAATAGAAAATGACACAATCGTTTTATCATTGCACGTGTGCAATATTTTCTTTGGTTTGAACTCCTATTAATCGAATTTCCTTGAAACTAAAGTTTGAAACTTGCTATTTGAAGTTGAATCTTCTATAGATATTTAAAATCAGGTTACTGACGATGATGACAATATATGTATCAAGATCGATAAAGTCTCGTAAAATGGAAATAAAAAAATAGAAAAGAAAACCAACATGATATATTAGTTGCTTGTTTCATTCAGATGGGACTTGAACTCCGCCGAATGTCTTTGTGTGGTTCATAATGCCTTTTCGAAAGTCTCATTAACGTAATGTTTCTTCCTAACATAATTCATACCGCGTGGACGCAACGCGTTTATTGCTGTCTTAACTCATTGCCGTAATCTGTGTAGGATACAAATGTTAATTTTTCTAACTAAATCGGCGAACGAGTATTGAACCGTACTTGGTTCGTAGACATAGCCAGCGGCCTACATGTCATGTTGCAATGTCGTGTGAAGGATTAATACAACTTGTCTCTTTATTACGGCACCGTTTCGTGTAGGTCGTGGTTGCCAGTCGAGTGATCGTATTCATTAGCAATTTACATAATAAAAAAATTGAGAAATTCTCGTAGGATATCGTCAAACCGATTAGGAAGCCATGTCTTTTTTTTCTTATATACTTTAATAACCGCACTCATATAACTATAACACACATAGTAATGACAAATACCCCGATTAAAGCGATGTTTTCCACTTATCCACGTATTGGGGGAATATCATTAGAAAAAAACGTGATGAACAAAATCATTTACACGCACTCCTAATACAAGTCGACATGCACGATGCATTTTGCGTGAATCCACGAACCATTTTGCAGATATACGAATAATGCGCAAGTAAAATTTACACGATATACCCACTCTTGTATATATTGCAACCCTTCTCCTCTTCTTTCACTCTCTCTCTCTCTCTCTCTCTCTCTCTTCCTTTCTTTCTCCTTAGTCGGGGTCGAAGCGTGGATGACAATCCTCTAGCTTCAAAAACGAATCGATACGGATCATGATGTGTGCAACAACGACCTTGCAATCGGTCTTTGCAATCCGAATGATATTGTACCACGTTGTTTAATCGAATACTTTGACACACGTTAGTGTTAATTCGAGCGTTATCGCTAAACGAAAGCTTCTTGGATAAGATTGAAATTAATTAGCGCGCTATAGCGTCAAAAATTAACTTCGAGATACACAGATAAAGCTTAACTGAATTTCTAATTTGTTGCATGCTAGCATCAACACATTCCGCACAAGACGAAAATAACGAGTCTTTGTATATGTTCTACTTTAGTAGAAAGGTACAGGAATTGATTTATGTTTGCAAACAAGATAAAGGGTTTACATCTGTTACGTGTATGCAGATTAAACACGTATAATGATACATAATATTATAAGTAGTACGTTCCACGTTTCATGGCACATGTATCATAAATTAATCTACGCACGCAACATTGTATGTAGTTACTATGTATTCCAGCAACTTTCCATCACTGAGAAATGCACTTGCGCATTACAAAAATACAAGATTAGTGGTAAGGCGAAGAGCTCACTTTATACCATTCTTGGTCTAATTACGTCCCAATGTATATGCGCCTAATTGATGCAAACGCAAGCGTTTGATACAATTTCACGAATAGATAGGAATAAAATTTGCATAGAAACAGTCGTGTTAATCTTTAGTAATAATTTAATCTATATACTATATACGCTCCTTTTAACGAGCACATGAAATTAAAAGATATATTTATCGATGCTATATATTGATTTGATAGATTTAAAGGAAATAAAAAATGTATACTTCCTCATAAAGGGAAAAAGTCGGATCTCCTGAACAAGTGGAAAATAGTTCTATGAACCTAATAATTTTATTTTATTATTTTCTATCTATAAATGCATCAAACGTATCGTCGATTAATAACGAAAAACATAGAGAAAGTTACTAATCGAAAAATACAATCCTAATCCTTCGACATCCTTAACGAGTTATTCAATCCAAAGCAAAAACATGCGCATTTTACACCTAATAGAATTTCACTTTTCGCTTCGTATTTCTATCTCTCTCATTAACTTAGTTATGTATATTGTATATACATTCCGATACAATTTTCCCGGAAGAAGGTCGAACAGTTAGAAAAAGCGTTTAAACATTACGATATGGAGGAATAGGACAAGAGCTAGCTAGAACGTACATTCACAACGCGCATAAAAGTGAATCGATCATCCCGACGAATTTGAAGAACTTGAGACACGCGGATTAAACGCCCATTAGCCACTTCGTCGGTTAAACGCGTACAGCTGACTAGATTGCTTGGACGCGCAACGATACGAACGTCAAGGAATTTGTAATCATTGATATCCGATAAGACACTGTCTCGCGTGTACCAAGAGATTACGATACACCAGATGCTTTTACATAGTTAAAGATAAGTTACGCGATTACAACCAAGTTTCTATTAGTTACTATTATAAAATTATTTAATAGTAATGAATAGAGTACGAATGTTTATGCAAATGCAGACTCTTTTTAAATACAACTAAGGGGATCGAACCTAATACCTTACCATAGAGCAGAACGTCCATCACCACAGCCGTACGTTTTGTTTTTTTGTGATTAATTGAAATTTCCTGAACGTGTTGTGAAATTGAGGAATGTAAAATTGGGAAAAGATTCTAACAAAGCATCAGATAATCTACCGAGTGATAACGTGAATATAAAATCTTCTAACTATTGTAGTAAGATCAAGTAACGCTAAATGAAAAATTAATCGGCAACATTTTAGTTAGGCACTACAAATTTTTGTTATCAAAGTGACAATTATAAAGCAATTGCTATTTAAAGATGTATCAAAGGCACTATCGATGATTTCGACCGTGAAATTGATCTCATTCGTAACACGCGAATACACGCGACAATTGTCTGCTATTCAAGGATGTGTGTGAAATTTCACTGTATACCGACTAAGAACATTATTTGTCTGATAGTTTCAATTTAACGAAATTTAAAACGAACCTTTGCTGTAATTAAGAGATATTTATATGGGCTGGTATCTTGTAAATCTTTGTGAATTTTGCGTAAAGTTGAACGATAAAATCCGAAAATAAAAAGGAAATAAAAGAGAAATAATTACCCATAATTATGCGCTACCAGGACGCATTTCTGACCAGGCTTGAAAGCGTAGTGACACAGTATAGTATCTAAATCCTTGAGTAGCTTGGTAAAATGGTAATCTCTGGACCGTCCAGGTGCCGAACTCATTCCGTGTCCCAGCATATCCGGCGCGATACAAGGATAACCCAAAGCGGAGAAATATCGAAGCTGGTGTTCGAAGATCTCCGCTGACGATCCGAAACCATGAAGAAACACGATCATTGGCTTCCGATTTTTTCGAAACGTAACTAAATCTCGAGGATTTTCCTTATAATCGATCGAGATGGTATTTTCCTCGATGTTGGGCCACGTCTTTCTGTAATCCTCGAGTTCGATGGACGCAGCGGCGGCTTCCTTCTTCATCTCGAACGTGCCCATTTTTTCGTTCCA